GGAGAGTTAACATATTGGCTTTAATTGTTGAACAGTATAACTGATGTCTGCCCTGGTATGATTTTAGATATAACAATCTTCCCAACTAGTCTTCTATAACGTTCAAGATCAGAATAAGGAGTGTTCATTGCTATGAATTTGAAATTCCTTGGAAGTAGAGTAGAAACTGGTTTTGAACCCAACAGTCCTGTATCTTCCAAGATATCCAGTATATACTTCCGTTGATTAAGAAAAACACCTGATGGAGACCTTGCAACTTCAATGCCAAGGAAAAACTTTGCTGCTCCAAGATCTTTAATAGTAAACTTGGCATGAAGAACTTTTTTAACTGTTTCAATATCTGCTGCATTAGTACCAGTAATATACATCATCTATATATACTAACAAAGCTAGAAATGAAGTAGAGGATGACTTGACAAAGAGACAATGATCTGCACTTGACTGTTGAAATCCAAAAATCTGCAACTGCTTGGTAAACTCAATATTCCATTGCCTTGAAGCTTGCTTAAGTCCATATAAAGACTTAAGTAATTTACACACTTGACCTGGTTTAGCTTTGCTGTAACCTGCAGGAGGAGTCATATACACTTCCTCATCAATAAATCCATGGAGAAAAGCATTATTTATGTCGAGTTGATGTAAGGGCTAAGCATTAACAGTTGCCACAACAACAAGTAATTTAACTGTAACCAATTTAGCTACTGGAGAGAAACTTTCTGAGTAATCAATGCCATCAACTTGATTGTAACCTCTGGCTACCAAATGAGCCTTGTGCCTGTCCACACTGCCATCAGGATTTAGTTTTAACTTATATACCCACTTGGAACCAATTGGTTTCTTCCCTGCAGGAAGATCAGTAATCTGCCAGGTATGGTTAGCTTCCAATGCATCGATCTCTTTTTGCATAGCTAACATCCATTCTGCTTGACTACATGCCTGCTCATATGAATAAGGTTCTTTGACGGAAGATACATTTGCTAAGAAGGCTAAGTAATTGTTAGATAAACGGTTAGTGTGTAGATATGGATAAGTTGGTGGTGTATAAACAGTTCCTGCAGAATGTGTAATAAGATTAGATGAAGGGCAAGTATTAGGACAAGTCTGTTGTGTGCACTGATCATGAACATTAGAAACAAAATCTTGAAGCCATGCAGGTTTCTTTTTAAATCTCAAACTTTGTCTAACTGGTTGAACTACTTGGGACTGATTAGAAGGAGCAGGAGATTGATGGTTATCTGATGAATCAGATGGGGAAGAGACTGAAATGGATGGTTGATTAGAAGGAATAGGATCATTTGAAAGAGAAATGGGAAGAGGCAAGGATAATTCATAATTAGATGATGTATGAGCTGAAAAGGGAAATTCACTTTCATGAAAGATAACATCTCTAGAAAAATGAATTTTATGATTCTCAATATCATACACTTTGTAAGCTTTCTGACCAACATTGTAACCAAGAAAAATGCACTTGAAGGTTCTAGGGGCAAATTTATCTTTGGTGGGAAAAGTATTTGTGCCAAAACAGAGGGATCCAAATACTTTAAGACGTTGATAATCTGGTGGCTTACCATATAATTTAGCAAATGGTGTTTCCCAATGTAAAATGGAAGAAGGCAATCTGTTTATGATGAAAGTGGCCATAAGGATAGAATCACCCCAGAATTTTGAAGGTAATTTGGACTGAAACATAAGTGCCCTTGCAATTTCAAGTAGATGTCTATGTTTACCCTCAACTATACCATTTTGCTGTGGGGTATAAACATAGGTATACTGATGAAGAATGCCAAGTTGATTCAAAAGAGAAGTGTGTCATTATTGAGGAACTCTGTCTCATTATCAGTTCGCACAGCTTTAACATAAGCTTGAAACTGATATGGACCATATTAAAAAACGATTGGAGAAAAGTATCACTTGATATTTATTTTGAAGTAAGAAAGTCCACAATGCTCTAGTAAAATCATCCACTATGGTTAATATGTAATGAGCTCCATAATTGAAGCAACTTTATATGGATCCCCCCATAATTCAA